GGGCCCCCAGCTGCCAGAACTATGGGGCCAGGGACCTGCTTCCCCCCAGCCCCCTGGCTGTTGCCTTTGGGAGGTGGTGGCTGCTGCAGCCTGAGCAGAGCATGGAGCCTGGCTCCCCCTCCCCCACGGGCAGCACAGCTGGAGCAGAGCACATGGAGGATGGGAATGGCTGCTGCAGGCTGCCCACTGTGGGCTTGGGGCTCCCTGCCTTGCTTCTCTCCCCCTGGGGGGCCCCAGGGCCCAGCAGGCAAGACCCAGTGTGGGATGGCAGAGTGGGTTAGGGAGGCTTGGTTCTGTGCCAGGAGCCCCACACCACCATTGTGAGTTGTCCCCTGACCACCTGGCAGTAGCAGGAGGCACAGCTTCATGCCACCATCTTCGCTGCTGCCGGGCAGCAGGGGGCACCTCACCATGGTGGCACAGGGCTCCTGGAAGCAGCAGCAAGCCTCCCTGCCCCTCTCTGCCCCAGGGGCGATGCATAGGGGGTACATGCGGGTGCATGTGCACCCCCTGAGCGTGGCAGTGCACCCCCTAGAAAAAGGCGGTGCTAATGGCGTCTGCAGGTGGTCCGCAATCCCTGCTGGCCGCACCACTGCTGCTGGTGGCAGCTGCGGGTGGTCAACAACCCTTGGTCAGTGCTTGCCACCCCACCCCACCCCACCCCACCCCGCTGCCGACAGTGCCAGCAGCGTCTGCGGGAGCTCCCTGCTCACCACTGCTGGGCTTCCATTGCCATGCTCCCGCCACCACCATGCCACCGCAGCCACCAGGGGCAGGAGTTGTTCATGCTCTGCCCTACCCTGCCCTGCCACTCTGGCTCCTGCTTGCTGGGCTGTGGAGGCCTCTGGGGGGAGGGCAGCAGGACAGGGAACCCCGAGCCCACAGTGGCCAGTCCACATCCAACCCTGCCCCATGCCCAAATCTGAAAAGTACATGCCCCTCATGCCTCCCCCAGGCATGAGTACAATGGCGGGGAGCCAGCCACCACTACCCCCTGGATGAATCACTCACAGCTCCATTCTGTTCCCTTCCTGGGCACTGCGGCCACACATTCCTGCCTCGGCTCCAGTCCCATCCACCACCCTGGCTGAGCAGCATTCCCAGCCCCTGCCCTGCTCAACTTCCTCCCACCCTCGTTACGGGGGCCTCAATCCCCACCCCAGCTTAACTGTGCGGCGCTGCAGGAGCTGTTGTTCTCATGCTGCCTGGCTGCCACATGCATGTGTGTGTGCACACATGCATGTGGTGCCTCCTGCCTGATTGCCCACCTCCCATTCCCTCCAGCCCCTTTTAGGCTGGAACTCTGCCAGTTTGCAAGGGGAAACCTGCTGTTTCCCATGTTTTTCTCCTTTAAAAAAGAAAACCCATGTTTTACTGCATTTTTCCGTGGCAAACAGAAAACCCACATCCCTGGTGATCATGAACTATGGTACCAGACCTCTCTATTCCATGGTTCAAATTAAAAAAAAAACCTTTCTTTCCAGTGCCAATAGGGAATCCACTGTCTTAACCCTGGAGAGACTGATCCCTCCAGGACAGGTTAGAGGTTCTGCATGGAAAGTTTGCATTGACTCAGATTTTAGGATGTCACAAGCAGTGACACCTATCCAGTGCTAATTAGTTAGTTTCCTTGTGTTGTCACAAAGGTTAAATGACTTGCCTGAGTTCACTTAATAGAGCCAGCAGGGAACCTGGAAGGCAAGTATTTTTGGGAAGGGTAGAACAAAAGCAGTCAAACGCATGATGTCATTACAAAAGAACATGAAAAAATGTGAGAAAGGGAATTTACCATATTTCCACGACTGTCTATTATTTCCCTTGCCATAATTCCCACCCTTCATTCAGTGGAGTCTTCAAGAATCCAGGTTACTTGTTTAAGTGACACATGTCAAAGAAAATCTTGCTGTCCCACTTCCTTATCTTCACAACTAGCAGTTGTGTCACTTCTAATCCAGTACAAATGTATTTTGTTTTTAAATGTGCACTGTAATGTACATTATGCTCATTCACATAAAAGAGACAAAATCTACATTATTTTCAAAGGCCATTAGCATTAAATGTACAGTTACACACATACAACAGTTTGGGGGGATATATTTGTGCCCAGCAATGAATTCCATCTGATTTTCTGAACACTATTTATGTTTGTAACAGTCTTTGTGAATTAGTTTATCTACTTTGTATAGAGAACCTGGCATATAGTGAAGAACAGTGTCTAGGAAGGTGTGACATGAGCAAAGGCCCATCAGTGTTTAATAGCCCTTTCTTCGTAAAATAGTGGTCTTACTACCAACATAACCACTGCCTTTTAAGGGCTCCCTCCCAACCCAGAAGGACTGAAGCATGGAAAATCCACCCAATAATAGACTAGTTTTAGATGTGACGCTCTATAAGCAAAGGGAACCAGGCCACTGCTGGAAACAAAAGACACAGCTGGAGGAGTGAAGACAGAAGGGGTTTTGTCCTTGCCAAGAGTAATGGCCAAACCCAAAGATTCTCAAGAGCGATGAGGAACCTGACAGGGAAACTGTATTCAGTTGTTTGTTGTTTTGTTACTCTTAGATAGTACGGGAGAGTTAAGTGTGTGTGTTTGAGAAGTTGCTCACAAAGCCTCTGTTTCTTATTTTATCTGCCAAGTTTCCATGAAAAGTTTAACTACAAACCACAGTGCCCATCAGGGTGGAGCTCTAGGAAGCATGCATAAGTGACTTGCAGGGAAGAATGGAAGTTTTAGTGCTCGTCTCAGACCTTAAGCCAAGTGAACTAAGTAGTCCCCTGCTTCAGGCAATGGACCAGTTATGGAGTTAGCACCCCAAAAGTGTTCCTTGAAGGTCAGTATCAGAGACAGGGTCAGAATTTAACCCAGACAAAGCTATCTGGGAAGTGTTTAGATCCAAATGTTGGGTCTAATAGATTAGACTGATGGCAGTCTGCAGCCATTGACCTAACGACTTACACAAGTATGTTATTACTGACTGCACAGCATAAGCCAATGTCACCAAGTAACTGTAGTGTGTCATGTTCTGGAGAGTGCCCTTCTAGGAAGCCAACTGCACACAGTATGTTGTGTTCCATGTATTGTACATCTTGTCCTGTGTTTGACCTGAGCTCTCTCAAACATTTGAAAAATACCTGCTTCTGCAAATTAGTGTTCCTAAATCAGAGACTTGATTTACTAGCATTTTAGTCAGTGAATGTACACTTGTACATTTAGTCAGTGAATGTACAATTTACCATAAGAATATTCTTTCTGGTAATTGGCTAAGAAAGGGAGGAGCTGCTTAGACACTATACCAGTTTCTTATTAAGTGATTATAGTATTGTTAAAGAGACACTTGTTGATCCATTTAGGTTCGATATATAGAGCCTGAGTTTGCCAGATGTACTTGTACTAAGTATTGTTTACTCACAAAAGCAGTTCTGAAAGCACTGCTCAAAAGAAAATTATTTGATCCTTACATTTTTTAAGAACAACATTTTCAAAATCTATTGCCAGGAGAATCATTCCTGTTCAACTGCATGAACAAGCAAAACACCTAATTCCAATAGCAACAACCGCAAAGTTAAATGTCCCTTTGCAGTGGCTGTTATCAAGAGTCCTATAAGGTGAAATTCCAGCTCTTCAGCCTCCATCCTCATGGTCTAAAGCCCCATCATCTAACTGCACTTGTGCAAATATCTTCTCCTAAGGTCTGTTTTCCTCTCTATGGAAAGCAGTAATGTCTGGACTAAATGATGAAGCTGTGAAACTCATGTTCACAGGGTTGTCCAAACTTCTGCTTGCCAACTGTGCTCTGGGCATTTCGTTTTGCATTACCTTTATCTTGTATGCAAAGTCCAAACATCTTCTGCCTGGTCTCATCTGTTTACTGGGGATAACTTTAATAAACATTTCAAACAGAAAAAATCCCCACCCCCTCCAGGCTGTTTTTATAGTTTGCTGGAATAGTGAGCACAGATCAATGGGAGTGCCAATATGTTCATTCACTGGGAAGAGGAAGTTGTTCATATTGCAAGTGTAACTATTTACTCTGCAAAAGGGGATGACAAATACAGGCAACCCCCGCTTAATGCTGTTTCACTTAGCACTATTTTGCTATAATGCTCATTTTAAATTAATACCTGATTTCACTTGCGGTAGCCATCTTGGGTCGTCAAATACATTCAGTTTTGCTTAACGCTTGTTTTGCTTTATGCTCAGTTTTTCAGGAACCAATTAAGAGCGCTAAGCGGGGGTTGCCTGTATACTAACAGAAATGTTGCGTGTGAAATATTGCATCATGCTACGAAACTCATGTGCACTACCACCATCTATAATGCCTTCTAGGGCTGTGGCAAAAAGAGAATTGAGTTGTCCAAAGCCAATTCTTTTATACTTGTAAAACACAAACCTGAAACATTTCAATGGGGAAGAGGAGAGGGCATTTTTACTTTCAGGGTTTTTTAATTTACCTTACAATTTATTCTTGAAAAGTCATTTTTAAAATTAAGATTCAAAATATTCTGCTTTGATAACAGCAAAATGAAATATTTTGACATTCCAAAAATGTATTTTTGTGGCTAAAATTATACACCAAGTTTACCACAAATTCACAAATAGTTTTGTTGTCTCAAATTTGGAGGTTTTTGGCAAAGTTGTGCACTTAAACATTACCCATATGTGCCTCCTTTTGCTGTGCTTATCACCACCTGAAGTGTGGACAACTCCTTTATGTAACATGCCAGTAACATCCACTAATCATTTATTAACCACATTTTATTTATGAATGCCCCCTTATGTGAGGCCTGACTTTCAGAAAGTTGTTCACACTATGAGAGTCAGTACCCATCAGCAATTTGCAGAGTACCAGCACGTGCTCTCCCAGCCACTAGTGATTCCCAGACTGCAGTTTGGGACTTCAGATCTTGTCTATAGCACATATACACTTCTGGACGCACGTGGTGAGCAGGTTACACTACAGTGTGTTGAGTTACGGCAAGGTGTCAGAAGAATCAGGTACCTTCTGAAGTGCTCTCCTCTGGGTTGCACTGGCAGTATCTCCGGGAGAAGTGAATCAGCACACGCTCCCGTTCTTGGGTTTCTCCCATCAGAGGGAATGCTTTTAAGAATGTTCTGCAAATAGAAAATGGCATTTAAGTTTAAAGGTCTAGAGGGTTAGGGCCAAAACTGGAGTTTTGTCGATGTTTTCAGGCAACGTGCCTAGTAGCTGTGTGAAAAGGTTGTTTGTGAAACTTTAAGAATCAGATTAAACAAACACTTATCTGTGATGGTTTAGACAGATGATACTACCATGAGCAGGAGGTGGGACTAGATGACCTTGTGAGGCCCCTTCTAGCTGTACTTCCCTATGATTCTATGAAAGCTGGAGCCCAAGTGCTCAACCTGATCTATGGGAAGGGGGAAATATGCTAAATCCTTGGAGCGGTTGTGGAACATTGTGGTCTGTGGAGTACTGCCATGGACTATGTACCCTTTCACGCTGCTTTGCACTTTGTTGCTCTGTTTCTATTTGTATCTTGTGTGCTGCAAGGCAAAAAGTCCTCAGGCAGCTGGGCTCTGTGCCATGAAAGGGTACATACTTCCAGCTCAGGTCCCTGAATCCAAGCTACTCTTTGCATAGTGGAATGGGCCTCAGCTTTGCTTCAAAGAGTTGCAGAGCCCTGCAGTAAACTGGAGAATTATTTAATTCACTCTTGTTTTCGAATGAGAGATGGACTCCAGCTAGAATGCTAGATTCAACCCCCTTCCAGCTCTGGGAAATGTGGATTCAATTCTGCATATCAGGCCCATTTTCAGACGAAACATATTGAGCTGATTATTACATCGAGGTAAATATTTAACCACAGCTTGGATTCTTGTTGCAACAACAGATCTGTCAGTCTCCAGCTGTCATTTCATGTACAACCAGACATCAAATCTTAATTGAATCAAGGGACCTGAGCTTCATGAGAAATGGGTGAAAAACACATGGACCACATGATTTAATTAATTTAATATCAGCTTACCTGAGTGCTTTGTCAAGTGCCAGCCCAGTGAAGTCAAAGAAGCTGAGGTATTCTTCTGCTACCAACTTGCTAAATTCATTACTGTAATTAAAGAGGGAAGAGTCAGCTAATTCAGAAGGGACAGGGACACTTTAAAACAGGACCATCATCATCTCATCTGTATCACACAACTTTTCCATGAGGTGTTTTCAGAAATATTTTAGTATCTAAAAGTCAGTTCTCCAGCCTTAAATTCTTGAAAACAGACTTTCCAAGACACAAGACAGTAAGATGGGCAATTCCCACTTAAAGTCAGTGGGAGAGACATGACAACTCATTTGCACCTGTGGAATTCTGCCCTTGTATTGCCTACATACAGACCCAGAAGTTTCTGGGACCTAGTGGTCTCAGGAAAAGCCTCTGCCATTCAAGCTAAGGTAGCTAGCGTCAGGGGGTGCTTGTACGTGTGATGGGTTTAGTACTCAGAATTTTATTCTATGCCACCTAAATTAAACAGTGGGTTTTTAACTGCAACACAACATTTCAATTTTTCTGTCACATTATTGAGAGGGGCCCGATTCTTTTTTTTTTTTTTTTTGGTGCTGGATCCTCCTGCAGTCAGGGGGTGAGCTGCCAGTGGCCCAAGCAGCCCCTGAGCTGCGAGGGGCCTCAGTCCTTCCCTCTGCAGTGGTGGTGCTCTCTGAGACTGCCCAGGTGGGCTGCAAGGGGGCTGGGGGCTGCCCCAGCTCATAGGCAGCACCCAGCTCATCCAACTGTTCCCCGAGCCAGCCTGCTGGAACCCCACTGGGTGCTGCTCCCCAGGTGGGCTCAGGGAACAGTTGGATTGGGCAGGGTGCTGCCTCTGAGCCTGATCCTTTTTTTTCAGTGGCACCTGCCTGCCTGCCTCTCCTGCAGCTGGAGGGTGAGCTGACAGCTGCATCATTGCAACTATATACAATCAGGATGTAGTTTAGTTTGAATTATGCAAACTCATTTGAAACCCCCAAAATTCATGCACGTGTACAGCATGACACCATTAAACCACATAAAATGACGTTTTTGTCATGTGTACATGGTAATGGCGTCACATGTATAAGCACCCAGGTAGTCTAAATCAGGGTCTTTTTCTTGCAAGGGCCAGCCACTAGAGGGAGACATGATTACATGCAGAAGGTTGATACAGTGTGCTTGTTGAGCTTGTTCTGAAGATGTCCTGTATAGGTATGTATATGCAGAGGTACACAGCTGGGACCTAGAAAATACTAGCACAAAACCGTTATGCCCATTATGTTCAATGGGTAAGAAAAAATGCTGGCGGAGGAAAAGAAACATAATAAAGCATCTGTGGTGATGGCGAGGTGCAGTATCTGGTAGGGGGTGAGGAAAGAATTAGGAGCTGAAGGAGAAAAGAAGTTTAGGCAAGTCCTCTCCCCCAAAGTGTGAAGCTGACAGTGCAGTTCTATCTCTAGCACGAACACATTTAATTAGGAACAATTTGCTATATCGTATTTTAATTTTCATAGACTTGTGGATGCTAAGGCTAGAAGGTATCAATCAATCACCTAGTTTTACTTCCTATATAACTCAGACCACTGAATTTTACTCCTTTACTGATGTGCCAAGATGGAGAACCCCTCACATCCCTTGGGAGATTTTTTTCAAATGGTTAATCACCCTTACTATTAAAACATTTATGCCTTGCTTCTAATTGGAATTTAACTCCCAGCCATTGGTTTGTCTTATGTCTTCCTAAGCTAAATTAAAGAACCCTTTGGTATCCAACATTTTCTTCATGGAAAAGTATTGATACACTGTAATCAACTAACTTTTTGATCTTTTTGATAGGCTAAACAGATAAAGCTAATTAAATCAATCTTAAATTAAACTTCTGGAGGCCGAGCCACTAATTGCTGCTGAGAGGGCAAAAGAGGTTTCTGGGGAAGGGCAAAAAAGTTTTCCCCTAAACCCACTGGGTTTAGGGGAAGAGTATCCAGATCACTGTAGCTGTTTCAGCACCCTGGGCAAAATGCATTTTGCCATCCTCCTTCCTCCACATTCTTCTAGTCAACCACCAAAACTGAAGAGTGGATGCTGTTCATGAATCTGCTCCAGAAATGCTAACCCTCCAATTCTGCTCTTGTGGGTAATTCCCCAGCTAGTCCATAGGACATACAGCCACAATCCAAGAAAAATCAGAGAACCATAAACAAGGATTGGAATAAACAACAAACAGCAAATCCTCTCAAAGTTAGAATGAAAAAAAAAGAAAAGCACCTCCCACTCCTCTTTATGCAGAAATACGTTTCTCAGTGAACGCATATGGTACATATTTCCCATAAAGTTCCTTTGAAAGATTTTCATAGAACAAGATGCAAAGTGATCTCAATAAGCCATATGCTGATTACAATAAGCTGTTGCAGGGTATTACAGGATATTGATGCATGTTATAGCTATTGGGAAGCTCTCTGCTGCAATATCCCCAGCTGCACACCAAGGACCAGATCCTATGCCACCTATTAGATGCATACATGGACTTAGATGCCTAAATGAAGTTTTACTGTACCCTGTTCAAGCCACTGAAAATCCAGTAATACATCTTAACTTTTGTAATATATTGTCCTCCTACCCTTAAGAATGAATCACAAGGAAGAATCAAGGAGGAAAAGGACCTATCACTTTGTGTATCCACACATTTTCAGGGACTTAAGCAGGGCAGAACAGAATCTGACTGGAGACCTAAGTCCACTTATATGCCTAATAAATGGAATAGAATCTGGCCCAATGCATACCATGTCATGGCCTATTGTTGCACAACTGCGGATGATGCCCAGTAAAAGGCAGGAAGTACATAGTTCAGCTTCTAATTCCCAGCTTCAGTTTACAGGCCCAGTGAAAAAACAGGTATTTTAGCTTGAAAAATGTAGCCAAATTGCCATGAGAGCCACTGAGGGCAGATAACCAGGGGACCTATTTAACTTGTATAGGGTCAACTTTCACTGACTATAGGGTTTCATTTTAAAGCAGGCTCCTCCTGTGTCTGCAAAACATCACAAAGATGTCACTGTCAGATTTGCAATTGCAGCTGAATCTAGTGCTCCATTTCCAGGTCCTGTCCATTAAAGTCTAATGACTTTTCAGTCAGGGATGGAGGAGGAAAAGCAATGCCATCCAGCCCCAAAGGGCATCATTTGAAAAGGCTTTTGATACCCAAGTAGCTCATCAGCTGTTTGATGGTGCAATCATATCATGGCGTTTAATATGACTTTACAAATTAACAAGAGAGTCTTTGGGGATAATTTAGCCAGAAAATAAGCACCACATTCTAATTGTAAAAAACCATGCTGAGTCACATGCAGTGTTATTCTGCTGTGAATTCTAGGACAAGATTTCACACAGACTCCTAAGTCCAGGTCAGAGATCTGCCTGCCGTTCGGGCAGCATATAGGGCCCTAAATGGCTCTGAGGAGACAAGGTCAGATTCCCCTGGTATAAGCACTGCATTGGGCAGCTGTAAATGGTCCTTTCATAATGACAACCCCACTTTCACATCATGACATGGGGTGTGTTTGAGGAATGACCTAGAAGGCCATTGGGAAAATCAAGGGGTTCGGCAGGGAGGAGGAACCTGCCTGCCACTATTGCTGTTCCTAGCGTAGCCCAGCTGGAGCAGAGCAGGAGCAGCTCTGAAGTCTCCCCTCACTTCCCTGACATTTGGGAGCACTCAGAGAAGTGGGCAGGGAAGGGGAGGTGCCTTTGAGCACGCAGGGGAAGGGAGGAGGGGTTCTTATCCAAGTCAGGGATATAAAAAAGCTGCTCCCACAGTTTCATAGTTTCATCATTTGTAGGGTCAGAAGGGACCTGAGCAGATCATCAAGTCCGAACCCCTGCCATGGCAGGAAAAAGTACTGGGGGTCAAATGATCCGGCAAGGTGTTCGTCTAACCTCCTCTTAAAGACCCCCAGGGTAGGAGCCAGCACCACTTCTCTTGGAAGTTGGTTCCAGATCCTAGCCGCCCTGACTGTGAAGTAGCGCCTTCTGATGTCTAGTCTGAATCTACCCTCTGCCAGCTTGTGACCATTATTTCTAGTCACTCCTGGTAGTGCTCAGGGGAACAGGGACTCCCCCAATGCCTGCTGGTCCCCTCTGACTAGTTTGTAACAGATCCCCCCTCAGCCTTCTCTTGTGGAGGCTGAACAGATTCAGGTCCCGTAGCCTCTCCTCGTAGGGCCTGCCCTTCTGCCCCTGATCATGCGAGCAGCCCTCCTCTGGACCCTCTCCATGTTATCCACATCTCTCCTGAAGTGCGGCGCCCAGAACTGGAAGCAGTACTCCAACTGCGGCCTGACCAGTGCCGCATAGAGAGGAAGGATCACCTCCTTGGACCTGCTCGAGATGCATAGATTCATAGATGTTAGGGTCGGAAGGGACCTCAATAGATCATCGAGTCCGACCCCCTGCATAGGCAGGAAAGAGTTCTGGGTCTAGATGACCCCAGCTAGATGCCTATCTAACCTCCTCTTGAAGACCCCCAGGGTAGGGGAGAGCACCACCTCCCTTGGGAGCCCGTTCCAGACCTTGGCCAGTTGAACTGTGAAGAAGTTCCTTCTAATGTCCAGTCTAAATCTGCTCTCTGCTAGCTTGTGGCCATTATTTCTTGTAACCCCCGGGGGCACCTTGGTGAATAAAACCTCACCAATTCCCTTCTGTGCCCCTGTGATGAACTTATAGGCAGCCACAAGGTCGCCTC